GTACCTGGGATTATGGATATGTGGTCTTATAAGCCACATTTTGTGTATTATTATAGGAAACTTGGAGGCAAACCTTTAGTTAAGAGCTATAATGCTACAGCAGCAGTGCTTAATAATCCAAACCTTACTGTATATACTTTTGAGGAGTCTACAGAGGAGGATGACTTTACATGTATAAAAGCAGCAGAAAAGGATGTTGCATCACTGCCTTTTTAGGTTTGGGTGTCCAACAAACAGAATGATTATAATCTATTCGATTATGAATATGAAGAATATGACTATTCTTCATATGATAATGGAGAAGAAAAAGGTTCTGGTGAAATTACAACTACAACCCCACGAACAACTACGTTGGGGATAAATTTGTTGCCATATAATGATTCTAAGGAAATGTTGGATGAGTGGAAAAGATTGCCTAGACATTTACAAGGAGCTAGACCGTTGCCTAGATGGCCGCAAGTTTTAGTTGAACCCTACGGGACATGGTGTCCAAAAGAGTTACAGCAGTATCTAGATTCCATGAGCACTAAACAAAGGAATATGTCTATATATATTGAAGATGTGCAAAGCAGAACTCATTTGAATTATACCCATTATGTTTCTTGTGTAGCGGATTTTCCTAATTTACCTATATATGGAAAGTTCGAGATCCTACAGAATCCTGATAGATCCTTAGAAATACGGAACCAATCTTATCTTACTATAGATAATTGGTGGAAAGTCAATACCTTAGGTACCGCCACCTGGCGATCACCTGTTGTGTTGACCGACCCTTTACCACAGCCATTTACCCATAACTTGGTTAAACCAGTGGCCACGCCTCCTAAATTAAAGGACAAAATCGGGTATGTTTGTATCCACAGCATTTTTGGAGATATGCTTAACCGAACGCAGGGACAAGCATTTATTGGTAGAGTTTGCTTCCCTGTTGATTCAACCTTCCTTAAGTGGTGCCAATATAGATATTATTATAAAATTGGTAATTATTCATCTGTAACTTATAAGATTCACACACAGGCCTGTAGGCTGGGTCCGGCTTACAGGACGACTGGGGTATTACATCCTGAATTTGGAATGTTTAATCACTCTGGATGGCTATTATTTGAAAACAAAACAAGGAGGTATGTCTTTAAAAATGCCAATAATGAATGGGACCTCTCAGAGATTGTGGATAGCCCGAAATTGGGACAGAGAGTGCATAGTCCAGGGTTACATGATTATAAATTCACCGTGGACAAATACATTGTTAACCAGACAGTATGGAAAAACTACACACAATATTATAATATATTTAATTGGACATGGTGTTATAATTTTAGCAGACAAAATTGTATACAGAATCCTCTTCATGCTGTATATTTGAATGCCTCTCATATGCATCTTGAGGTGAATAATACGTGGCATAGGTTTGATAATCAGTCCTGGCAACCTGTATTGGTTGTCACACCTAAGGATATTTTGGAAAAACACTTGTATAATGTTACATTTCTGCAGGTAGATTATACTTATAATGGATCCAAAGGAGAATCTTCAAAGTGGCCTTATTATAAATGCCAAGATTGTACCTTTAAGTTTTATGATAATTTCTTTGGGACTTTGATTCCCGTGTTTAATTTGAGTGATGACAAAATCAGAGTGAATGTCCATAATATGTCAATCACGATGGGAGTTGATTCTAATTATGTGGACACTAAAAATGTTAGTTTAGCTATGGAAAGATCTATTTGCAGATGGTTTCCACATTCATGGCAATATGTGATTGGTATTCATAGGTCTATTATGCATAATGATTCCACGTACTATGATATTCCTCTTGATGTAAATATAACTGGAAATGTTTCCAAACATTATGAAGGTGGTAATGTTGTATTAGGCAATGAGGAAAAACAAACGAGGGATTATACTTTACATCCAACAGTATATTCTCTTGCATTTGTACCACCAGATTTGGATGAAGTTACTTTAGTGAATTACAAAACAGAAACTTACCTGGTAAATGCTGATGACTACTGGTCATTGAAGACTGGGTGCCCTAGAGCACAGCTCTGGGATACTATAATTAGATACCATGTGGATGTAGCAGATAGAAGAACTCTGAAATGGTGGTTGACACAAGGAATGGATTTCTCTACCTGGTCTAGTAAAATATATCCAGGAAAATTACCTTATTACTGGTATATGTTATTGCCAGGAAGTGAAAATGAATGGAATCTTTATGATATTGTAACACATGATGTTTTACATAATAATACTGATGTGTTTGATGCACATGCAGGTAATCATATTATATATAGTACAAAGATGGATATGCAAAAATGCTACATGGAGCCGACCTCTTTGAATCCTTGTTTAATCGATAGAGGAGGATTTGATGAAACCAAGGGATGGGTTACTGCCCATTTCCCAAGAGCGGTCCTCTTCCCACGCAAGGAAAAGGACGGTAATTTTATGAAGACTTTAGAGGCTCCAGGATTTTTACCTTTATTACATCAGCCAGTTAGATTTTTGATACAACCACAAGTACAGCCAATTGTGTTACGATTGTCTGTTAGTGATTTGTTGAAAGGTGAAACTGTATGTCCTTCTTTTGAGTCTACTGTGTTGCCAGATTTGTTTTATTCAGTTCAAAGAAATGCAGCAGGACGGAGACCTTTGCAGTTCACAGCGATTGGCGCTTTCCTGGCCGGAGCAGCTTTGGGGGCAGCGATCGCTGGAGCAATGACGGAGGAACTTCGAGTGGAAATTTCAGCTCTTCGAGGACTTCAGAATAAACAGAACTTTGTTATCTCACAATTATCTAAAAATCTGCACTCCGCATCTTTACTTATGGAAAGACTTTCTGCAGAACAAGAACTTTTGAAACATCATGTTGATTCACTAAGTAAGGTGATTGAGACTATGGATGCATCATGGAATGTACGTATGAAACAATTGGAGGCAACTCAGGAGTGTGAACATCTGCAAGCAATGATCACCGCGGGATTAGAAGAAATAAGACTGTTATTTAGAACCGGCATAGGCATGGAAACTGCATCAGCTATAACCATATTAGATCCTACAAAGGATTCTTGGTGTGAAACTGGTGTTTGTATGATTAATTTATGGCAAATGTCGACATCTAAGGTTGTAATAGGATATCCAACTAAGGCTATACCGAAGAAAATTGGTAAAGATTGGATAATACCATTTGATAAGTTTTATTGGTTAAAATGGAACAATATGTCATATTATGTGCCTAGTGAAGCCACTTATGCTATAGGTAAAACAACTATTATAGCATATGATCTTTTCTCAGATGAACCTAGGACTTCTGATATAACTATATCTATGCCTCAGGCTACTTTGTTAGATCTTGGGAATTTTAATATATTGTCTTGTTATCCTGAACCTTACATGGTTCGACGATGGCAAAACATTTCTTATAGTGATTCTTTGAGTCTGAATGCTGGTTGTCATGTACATACTAATGTCATGATGATGGAACATATGAATCTAACTGTTAAGAAACATCTATTTAGGTCTAAGGATTTTACTGCTATGCAAAACTTACGAGTCCTGACTCAGGTGGTTTATATGTCTAATCATACTTTTGGGCTACATTCTTTTGTACCCCAGCCACCTCTGTCAGAAGAATATAAAAATATGATGAAAGCAACAGAGGCAGCTAAGTCCATTTATGCTTCATTGGGAAAGGAAATTGAGACAGTACATAATCAAACTACTGAACTTCTCCAAAGATTCTCAGGAGAAACTCATAAAGTTAAAATGTTGGTTGATTCCGGATACTTGATTCCGCGTGACTTTCAGTATACTTATGATTGTAGTTTTGTAGGTTTCTTTAGAAAATTAGTTCATGCAGATGTTAGTTGCATTATGAGATGGAACCCTTTCCATTGGCTTAAGGAAGGATTGCTATATGTATGTTGTTTTGTATTATTTGTATTATGCATTAAGATTTGTTTAAAGATTAATAAGTCTGCAGGAAAGAAAACTTACATTATAATGGATAAACTTCAACATTACAGAGACCATGAAGCGAAAGGCACTAAGAAAATTAAATCCAAGAAGGAGAAGGACGGCAAGATCGAGGAATTATTCTGAACAGTTGCACTATGCAAATTGTCATCTTTGCATCGAATTTCATGTAAATACATGGTTTTCATATAGTGCATATACACTGTTTGGTCAGGAACGTTTTTCTTTTTTATGTAGATTAGTAACACTACGTAGTGGACCATGGTGTCCGCTGGATAAACATCTAGAGGATATTGTACCTTCTTTATGTGTATTCTTAAATCATGTTTGGAACTGTATTCCTAATATTAATTCGCACTGTGATGTTTATTGTAGACATGATATACATTTGTGTGTTAAGGCTTTATTTGGATTGTTCACGGAAGTAATGAAGTCTGATCATGATTTATTAACCTTACAATCTAATGCAGGTGCTTTTTATGTTAATGGACTTATTTCGCTTAACTATAATAGATCATTATTATTTGGTGATGATTTGTTGTGTAGAATTAATTCACAATGCAGACAAAGGAATACATATGTTCCTAGATCTTTATTTGACATTTGTTTAAGAAACATTTGTAAGCCTTACTTTATTAAATTATGGACTTATGTGGATTAACTATGTCTGTGGACCAAATAATCATCAGACGGATATTAGGACGCAAATTGAGGAACGACCTATTGTTCAGGAAGGACCGGATGACTCCAATTCCGATATTCTCTGAAAAAGATGTTAATTACCCATTTATGATAGTTCACAATTTGGTGATAGATCTATTGCTAGTAAAGGATTTGGATTTGGACCTTTATTTACGATTGAAACAACTTTTCGTTCCGAGAGTGAAAGCTCCCTTTTGCTGTGAGATTCGTACTATGATTACACCTTTTCTGCACTCCTGTGTGGTCGGTGGCTGCATGGATGCCGTGGATTGCATCTTCCAATCTGAAGAAGATTGGTTTGGAGGGCCGCGACAGCCCATACGTTTCCCCGAGGACGGGCAACTTCCGAATGGACGACCTAAGACAGGGGACCGTACTTGTCGCTTTGATACATCGGCACCAGCAGTACCCTCGGCACCTCCGTATCAAGGGGGTGGAATGACAGGAGTAAAACATCAAGAATGAAGGGTCAGCATGGATCAGCAGAGAAACTTGTTTGGACTTGTTTGGACTTTGCAGTAACTCAGTGACTTTTTAGTGCTGGTCACAAGATGACCAGAGAGTGTGTCTATGTTAGATAAGTGGATGATGTAACCTTTTTGAGTGTGGATGATGTAACCTTCTAAGTTGTGGTCATAGGATGATAAAGTAGTCAGGCAGTATGCTTATGTTAGATAAGTTAGGTATGAACAACTTGTAAAGTATATAAGCGCGGGGGAAACTCCATGTAATTGCTCACAACTAACTCTCGTCGCCTGAGAGTAAGATCGTGCAGTTGTGTGCCAGCCACCTCGTGTATTGCTTTGTGTGGTGTGCGAATAAACCAGCATTTCAAAAGGCAATCGAGTTCGTGCTTGGTGTTCGCGTACGTCGTGGTCCGGGGTCCAGTGCAGATATCCGGAAGGGAACTCCTGGTAACCAGACAAGGCTGAGAAGCTGCTCGTGACAGGACCTCACATTGTAGACTTCAATAGGCCTCTCTTCATGTGACCTTTTGGCCACTCTTTGGGAAGGCTTGCCTGTGAGAGTTTTCCAGAGCTTTCATTGAAATGAGCTTCCTCACCATTTAATGGTTCCTGAATGAATTGAAACCCACAGTTCCTCCAACTTCATCCTTGAAAAATGGCTAGATAAATAACATGAAATTTTTGAAATTCCCATGACCAGGTGGCACTGGAGAAACTTTGGATGTCCTGTTGCTTATCATGAGTGTACCAGACAGTGCCTTGATTGACTGGTTTTCATGAAAATGGTGTAGAACAGAGATGCCAGTAAGTTGGATCCTCCTGAATAATGGACCTAGAGCAGTGGTGTGCAGGTGTGTGATAAAACATCTGTGGTGGAGCCATGTGGATCTGCCATTGGCTTCCAAATGGCTTGTGAATGACATGGTACAGCCAGCAGACCCTTATATATAAAGGCTTCTTGTTATATGGAGAGGTTTCAGGGCAATGTTCAGATTTAGGTTTCTATGGACAAGGGGGCAAGCTATGTGGGATAGAAGCCTGGTTGGTGCATTCTCCTGCAGACCCTGACCCAACACATGTGACAGAACTCCCTCCAGCACTGTGTCCCAGTTGAACTCCTTGTATTTCGTGAAGCAAATACCAAACTCCCATTGCAGCAGCGAGAAACACCACGAAAAGTGGAGGATGACCAAAAGGCTTCACACTGCACACGGAGAGACACTTAGCCCCAGTGGCCACAGTTTACCTACAAAGAGAGAATTCAGCACTGAAGCCTCATGTTCATTGGAAAATAAGAAACCATGTCCTCCAGGTCATATAGATGCAGACCCAGCTTTGATGGTCTCACTACAAAGGAAACTAAAGCTCCTGACAACAACATAGTTTTCAAGGCCCAAC